ATTATAAAAACAAATTATGCGGGTGCAATTACATTTTACGTCTTAGTAGTAGTAGTAAAAGGGAAATATTTTGTATTTACCAAAAAAAAAAAAAAAAGGGGAAATATTTTGTATTGAACAAAACAACAGTAAGTCTGACTACAAAAAGTACAAAAGAACAGATATCAACAACACAGTGACACTCTAACAACAAGAGGACAAAAACACACTGTATTCTCTTTCTTTCTTTTTTTTCTTTTTTTGTTCTTTAACACGGTTAAGGTGTAATTTGAAGTTCACGTTATCAAACTACAAGTATAAGAAGTTCCTCAATAAGGGAAGATAGCCATTAAACTATAAAGATGTTCTTCACTGGTTTTTTTTTTTAACAAATGCAATTTAAGATAAAAAATATGAAATTGTAGCTTACAGTATCATAATTTAAATTTTAATTATTGTTAAAATATTAAATATACTTATTAAGTGATTCATAAAGACGGGTGCAACTGAACTCAGAGTAAGGATATTATTGTTAGATCTGAGTTGTATGACCACAGATCGAGTAGAGTCTAATTTACTTCGTTGGCCTGCGATTGTTTTCTTAGAAAAAGGCTACACATTAGATTAGACAATATGAGTTTGCTCTTAATTACCAATGAATCTTGAACTACTTTTCAATGTGAATTCTTCCCACACCAACTTCAGGAAAACATCGTCTATGTATTTAACAGGAATAGGATACAGACCATTTCTATAAAATAAATAGCAACGAGTAATCTCTTTCTTGTTAAGCTTCTGGGCCTGGAATTTACCAAAAAATAAAAAATAAAAATCCTTCCGGGGCTAGAAAGCATAGTATGCAGAGCTGTGGACTATATGACTAGTCTGCATTGAGTAGAAAGTTTAGGGCGTACTTAGTTAAAAATCAATTTTATTATGAAATTTTTTATGGAAAAAATAGCTGGAGAAATGTTATATGAAACTTTGAAAAGTTTTATAATAAAATATTATTAAAATTTTGTTGGATTGGTAAATTTAATTTAATACAAAATTAATAGAGAAAAGTTGATAAAAAAATTATTAAATGAGTTCCATATAAAAGTTAGAGAATTTTTTTTTTTATATGTGAGAAGAAAAATTTACTGAATAAGAATGGTATCAAACAAAATAGGATGCTGATTGGTGCACACCCGGTGTTGACCCGGGTGTGCACCCCCACATAGAAAAAAAAAAGGGACCGGGTGGGGTTGGGTTTTTTTTTTTTTCAATGGGGGAGTGTGCACACCTGGGTCAACGGGTGTGCACATATCTTTATCCAACAAAATAAATGTTAAAAATAACAATTTTACCTTTTTAATATTAAAGTGTAATAATACCTAAATAATCTTATAAAGAAGAAAGTTGGAGGAAATTTGTCTCCCAACCTAACACATCAATCTAACTATTGCCACTGTTAAAATCACTAATGCCACCAAAATATCAATTTATTTTTAAAATAATGTCTAAAAAATCAGTCTATTGACTTATTTTGATTTGTTAATTAATAAATATTAACTATTTTATTAGTTATTGATTAATAACTATAATTATTAACTATTTTTATCAGTCAAATTAAACAAAACTATTATTTTTAAAGACAACATTTTATAAATTTGGTAGCCCTAACATTGTTATTAGAGTCCATAACCAAAGCCCTAACACACCCTTAGAAGAAGTGTTTAGTTTCTAATTTAAAAACTAAAAGTATGTTTCATTTGAGGGAAATGGAAGAAAAAGAAAATCCTTTATTTAGATATGAAAATATTGTAGTTACAATATTACATGGTATTGTAAATTTACGATATAATTTATCGTTATATAATTAGTTATTTTTATTTAAAGTCCTCCAATAATATTATATATATATCTACTTGTTTAATATCACGTCATATTTCATTTAATATTACATAAAATTATAAGTTTACAGTAACATTATAATTTTTTTTTTTTTAAACATATTTGCAAGGGACGGGTTTCGAACCCAGCCCAGGAATGAGGAAATGCACTGGGGTGGCTATTGCCACTAGGTCGCAAGGTTCAGGTGCACAATAACATTATAATTTAGTATTGTTAATTTAATATATTAAATAAATAAAGATATAGAAAGTAAAAAGTAAACTAAGGGATGCTTCTCCCTGCACCTTACCCCTCGCCTCAAAACCAAACGTATTACTATTATTTTACCATTTTGGCACATAAAGAGATCTAGAAAGACGAATCTTGAACCTCCACTTCGTTGGCAGGACAGGAAAACTCTGCACTCGAAATAACCTCAAATTCGAGACATGTAAAATCAGAGTATGTCAAGATAATTAATTAAGTCTTGCTGGTACAACTTGCTTCTATCTGTATCTCACAGCTTGCCAATGAAACAAAAATGAACTTAAATTGCTCTCCAATGGCTGAATGCCCATAAAAAAGAGTGGTTTTCCAAGCCACCCAACCAGGTACAACATAACGTCACATAAAAAGGCAAAATCCTTTTTATCTTCTTTTAAGATTCAGGTTCTGAATAATTGGAAAAAAAGAAAAGAAAAGAAACACAACCCCAAGATTTGCTACAATGGGCAGAGTAGTCTAATAAACTATACCATCACATTCATTGTATCTGCGTTAAAGCAAGATCTTATTCAGATTCATAGCCCTACTACTAATAAGATGGATTAAACATCTTTGTGTTTCTACAACAAGTCCTTTGCACTTCAAAGGATGACAACCACCAGTCTCCAGGACACCCCTTGGCAGCAAATACTAAGATATTTTCATCAATATCAGCATATGAAAAACAGGCATCATGCGTCAGCAGCCTTCTCCATAGGTGCAGCTTCCACACTACCATTTGCTGTGGCTCGTTTGGCTTCATAATCTTTTACAGCAGCTTTTATTGCATCCTCAGCCAGCATGCTGCAGTGAAGCTTAACTGGTGGAAGAGAAAGATGTTTTGCTATTTCTCTGCAATACATGCAAGATGGATATATTCTAGAAGCCATAAAAAATGGAAATACTGATAAGAAAGAAAGTGGGGTCAGACTTGAAGTCTCAACATGACAACATCAGGTTAAAAAACAAATTACCCCTAAATCACTCATTATTAGTATGCAAACTGTTCCTTATCCACTGCCTATAATTGTGGCTCCAAAGAACTTATTTGTACCTGGGTTCAACAACAGTCTTAAAACCTTTACCATATACAGAAATCTTCTTCACAAGCAAGTTCAACACATGGCAAAGATAAACATGTCATTCAAAAACTTCAAAGCTCTGACACCAATTAGTATATGGTAGAAGACCAATAGCACACTGGCAATGAACCTTCAAAAGTCAAAATAAATTCATCTGTGACACATGAAAGCAAGAACACTTACGTGTTCTTAATGGACACCACTTCCTCCATCTGCTTTCCTTTCACCCATTCAGTAGCTGCAGCATCAGAGACCAGAGTTATTACCCAGCTTCCATAAATGGAAATCTTACACACTTATAAGGAATAGCTACCCATTCCTTTAGAACAACAGACAGAAAGCAGAGATATAAATCACCACACAACTACAAGATGAGCATCCACATCATCAGCACCTCTAGTAAGAGCATAAAGACGGACAGAAGTCCGTTTAATGATATGATGCGCTCAGTCAAGACAGACCACAGAATTCAGATATACAGATTGTATAATAAGAAAATAATAATAAAAAAGAAGAAGCAAAAATTGTACAAAGACAACTATCCAATTATTACAAAATTTCAATCAAAATCAGCTCCCAAAAAATTTATAGAATAGGAAACTGCATAGAAGTTGTAACTCGATTAGGTGAAATGGTAAAAGCTTGAAAAGCTGGAGAATAAGAATAAGTCCTCTTTAACACAAATTTTGGCAATCAAGATCAAACGAAAGTTCACCATTTAATCAACTTCTGATTAAATTCTACTTTCTAAATCACCATAGATTCCAAACGAAGTTCAGTTAGATTATTTCTCAGACAAATGATTTATAGATTTCATCAAAGACATCAACCAGAACCGGAAAAAGGAAATAAATTTGGTTGAATTTTGTTTGATAACATACCTACAGATGAAGAGGCAATTGCCGAACCACAACCGAAGGTCTTGAAACGAGCATCGACAATCTTTCCCGTCTCTTCATCGACTTTAATCTGCAGCTTCATCACATCCCCACATGCCGGTGCGCCGACCAACCCCGTGCCCACCGTCGGATCGTTCTTGTCAAAGGACCCAACGTTCCGAGGATTGTTGTAGTGGTCGATAACCCTGTCGTGGTAAAGTCGTGGAAGAATCTGAAGCGGCCGGGACGGAGCCTCCACCAACGCCAACCCCAGAACCTTCTTCGAAGCGTTAGCCAGCCGCAACATTTCCGATCACGAATCTCCCGCGGGGAAAGTGAAGGAATTGGGGGAAAAGAATAGGGTTAGGGATTTATATAGCTTTTAATTATGAAGGAGGGGATGCTTGGAGGGGCACGTGGCGTCTGTTCCCAAATTACTGGATGAGGTTGAGTTTTGGATCTCTGCTGTTACTGCCTTGGCTCAATATGCAGCTCTTAACCCTAAGAAAGCTGAGGCCCAATAAAAATGGTCCAGTATTTTAGCCATTTCTAAGGTCCATATGGTTGGTTAATTTGAGGGGAAACTTGGGCATACCATGATTGGGAGCATTTTTGAGTTTTGAGCATTACATACATCCTTAGGCTAAGTATGGTTTGAGGGAGATGAAGGAAAGGAGAGGGTATCTTTTCGTTTCCCTTCATTTCGATATTTCCCTCCCCTTATTTAGATAAGTGAAGAAATTAAAAACAAAAGATAAAGTAAAAAACTTTCTTCCCCTTTTAAACCAAATATATTGTTAATAACAAGAGGTCCTAAACTTTTAAAAAGATGATTCAATAATTTAGAACTTAATATTTTAAGTTGAAGATTTTAAATTCGAATCTTAAATCAAGTAAGGAAGAAATTAGAAAAAGAGAAAGACTATCATTTATTGTATAAAATCAAATATTTTAAATTTAAATTATATGATATATGGATTAAGCAATTTAAGAAATAAAAGTAAAATAAAAAGGAGTTACTTCCATCGTACAATCTAAAATCCAAAAAAAGAAGGTCCCACACCTCAAAGTTGTGGGTTTCAAGTCCTGCCTAACAAACCCACCACTCACCCCTCTTGGACACAATCGATCCCTGTCTCGACGTCTCCCCATACAAATCATTTTGTACCAGACATGATTCTTACAGTTTTAGTCAATTACTTATTTTGTTGGTGGGCCTGGGTTGGGTCTTGGAAGGGTTTCCAGGCCCATGCAGGTTCAAGACCTGTCTTTTTTGGGTCTGCAAAGGAGAGATGTGGACGAGAGGAAATGACAGTACATCCATGACGTTCTGATCCTGATTTTGTTGTCATTCTTATCAAAGTTGGTACCCACGGCTTAGTGTTCAAACCAAACCTTTGCAATGTTAATTAAAACTCCCCCTAAACAGCTTTAATTTGATGGGTTGTAACTTGTAATTTTATCATTTTATATATGAAGAAGTAACTGAAAAACCTTAATCTCAAATATACACGATGATTAATTAATCCAAATAAAGCATGAAATCTGAAATAAATTGCAGTCTTATACTTACTCTTCTAAAGAGAGAGTCTTAATTAGACCCTACATATAAATGCCAAAGGGAATTCAAGTAAAACATTGGTTCAAACCATTTGCATGATGAAATCATCACTTAGTTTGAGTGTTTTGTCCTGCTGCGATCCAATGCATTATTGGCATGACCAAACCGACAGTATTAGCTGTTCATTCAAACCTTATGTTACATTAGTTAGCTATGCTTTCACATCACTGGCATGCGCTTATCTTCTTCTTCTTTTTACACGAGACACAATTAAGTTCCATACAAAAAACGGTTTTGTATTTCTTTAAGCAAACTCTCCAAATTATACAAAATTATCACCAAGCCTAATTTGCCTTGTCTCAACAGAATGTTCACTTTCTTTTTTATGAGTTTTTGTCTTGGGAAACAAGTAAGATTTTGGTGATTAAGCTATTAAAGAGAACACGATTATGTATTGACGATTAATTTTATTTTGCGTTCATTTAATTAAATAATGTATTCACAGTTAAAATTTTAAAATTTTATATTAAAAGTTTTGAGGTAAAAAGTTATTTTTTATTATATAATTTATAATTTAATGTTACAAAAAATTATATAGCTCATAATTTAATATTGTTAAAAAAAATTTACTTTTCATTTTTTAATGTCATTTAAAACAAAACCTTAAAACATATCTAATGATTTAAATAAATTAATGATTATTTTTTTCTACTAAAAGTAAAAAACCCTAAGTTTGACTTTCATATCATATGAGTGAGGTTTAATAAGAAATAAGAGATAGTTAATTCTCATTATATATAACCAAGATAACCAAAAAAAAAAAAAAAAAAAAAAAACCTTGAGACATGGACTTATCTATGCGTGTGTCCTTCGGGAATTTTCTCTCGAAAGTCTGCTACGCTTCTACTTCAATTCCTTCAGTGCATTAATTTGTCTGTACGTATTGTATGCAATCCCTCCAGCCTATCTGTTCTTCATGTGATAGGTTAAGTGGTAATATTCTATTTCATAAATAAAAATATTAGTGAGATGTATCGTGTTTGACTCCAAATCTCTCTCCTTCACTTCCTATTAAAAATATATAATAATATTATATGTAACTTTTGGTAACAATTTATGATGTTGTTAAATAATAATTTTAACAATGACAAACAATAAAGTTAAAAGGTAATAACATAATTATTATTTTGTTATTGTCATTAGTATTTACTTATGGTTTATAAGGGTAGGTATTTTTTTTTACCTATGATATTTTAGATGTAGGTATAAAATATAATAGGTTTATTAAATCTTTACCTACAAAATGTAAAAATATAAGAATACGTTTAAAAGTATAGTTAGATATCTATAGTTACAGGATCTATATTTACACTTTTTTTTTACTATAAGTATAAATCTTGAGAGGCATATACCTATGAATTTTTATCATATATCTACGGTTTATATCCATAGCTAAATGGCAAAAATGCTGTCGTGAATTATCATGGATAATTGCCTTTATAAAGGGTAGTTGCTTTTGTTCAAAGAAAAAAAAAAATCCCTCCAGCCCATCTCGTACGTCTTTCATTCAATTTTGTTTCTCAAAATAACATTGAGATATATAATATTTTTACCATAAAAAATGCTCCCTCCTTTCAATTAAACACGGGTGCAATAACCCCATGTTCGCGGAGAATTAATGTAAAAAAAATAACATTTCTGCTAGCATTATTAAGCAATCTTTAGGTTAGCATTACATAAAAAAATGCTAACCTGCACTTGAACCTTTGGGTTCAGTGGTTTCAGGTCACCTATAAATGCATTTTCCCCACATTTAAGGTAACGGTTCGAATCCGACCCATTGTGAATTTGTTCAAAAAAATAAAAATGCTAACCTAAAAAATTATTTTTTAATGTGCTTTTGAAATTATTAAAAAATAAATTAATCTTAAAATATATACCAACTAATTTAAAAACATTCTAATTATCCAACCCTCTAATATAGATAGACATTTAGGGCACCACATGTAGGAATATGAGTCTACGTATACAATGGTTGATATGAGCAAAATTATAAACTTCTTGCCTAT